TCATTGAAGTATTACTGAGCTTTTATATTTCAATTACACAATATCGAAAAATTTATTTGACCTGATTGAATGATTTTTTGAGCAAAACTATTGCATACAATTTCTGCTATTTATGATCATTTATTTCGCTAGTATAAATTGAGAATTGAAATAAAAAAAGTTTTTTCTTTCCATTGTTAATTGAGATGAAAGTAACATTTAATTAAAAATGAATTCCATGTTGTGACTTTCTTTATGTAATAGAAGTGTAAGTCTTTGAAGTGAATTTTTATCGAATTTCAAAGACTTCATTAAACTTTTAAATGAAAAGTAAAGTATTGGTGCTTTGGATTTTTTAATTGTATAAAATAATAAAAATGTGTTCAACAATAAATGAATTTAAAATTTCTATATGTAATGAATATTTAATAGCTTACATACATTAATAGACAATTTACACTGCTTATCATGCTAATTTTTAATCTAAATTTCTCAACAAAAATCCATTATCTGAAAAAAAATTCATTCTGTTTATCTTTGTTCCATTTCTTCGATCAGTTAAATTGATTAATACAATTTAGGGGAAAAAACGTTTTTTGTATATTCCATTTAATTTCGTATATTGTCTTTTTTGTCATTAATTATTTTTATTAAAAATTTATTGTCATCAGTTTCAATTCACAGCTTACTTGAAATAAAACATCATACAGGATAGAATTCACTGTTTATATTGAACCAACATCAACCAACAAATACATTTTATTCAACAAAATGGAATAAAATTCTACTATCAATTATTCTTCCATTTAAGTATTTTTTATTTTTTGCTGAATAGTTTTGTCTCTTCAACATTCTGTATTTTACGCATTATCATGTTCAAGTTTTCTGGCTGAATGGCCATGAACAAAACTAGGACAGGATTAAACTCCGGAAGCACAAAGTCGATGAGCGTAGAAGTCTCACCTTCGGAAAAACTTACTTGCAAGTACTTCTATCTACACGATCCATTCTCTTGTACTTTTTACTTTTTTCCTTTTCTTCTTCATGTCTATCTATTCTTGCTGAAGTCGATGTGCAGTACATATATAACATACATAAAAGGGAACGATTATACGCGTCTACGACCACGAATGGACGAGAAATATAGTAAAGTCGAAGGGAAGTGCAGGTATAGAGGTCATTACGCGAAAGCGCTTCCAATCCGAACGAGAAAGAACCAGAAGTACTTTTTTCTGGACAAAATGAGTCTCTTGAGAATTTGTTGAAAAGAATCTATGGTTGTTCCTGAATTATAAAAATGTACTCAACTCAAGTACTTAGTAATTTGCAGCTAGTTTTAGTTGATACAATATTAATTTTTTATTGATTTATAAAAATTGAATAGCCATATATCATTTTCAATAAGATTTGGTGATTCAATAATATCTGATTCAATATAGACATACCATCTTAGCCTTTGGGTTTGTGTACTGTGGTATCTTTAGTTGATTTAAATGTATACATATTCAGCACATTAGTCGATTGCTGCATCACTCCATATTCAAGTACTTCATTTTAGCGAACATGAACAATGTGCTCTAGAAGTTTCTATTCATCCTATGTTAACTATTTTACTAAATATAATTCTCATACATTTAGCAAATTTTAACATAATGACTATCATTTTGTAAATCTACTCTCTACAGATGTGTTAGAACTTAAAACTGTATGGTGGGTAATTGTTTTTCTTCTAGTTAAAGTATTGATTCAATTTTTTTTTTTTTTTTTCTATTAATTGTAGATACTTAGACAGACTCCTGTAGTTACACAAGTTCGATTGACTCGTGAATATTTATCTACTAGAGCCAATAGCTTCTCCATCAAAAGTTTCAGACATCACTTTAAAAAAGTTTTTAAATTGAGTACTTTTACCATTGACATGAATACGTTTATGTTAGCATTTACTTTTAAATAAATCATCTATTTATGATGATAGGAAGTTGAAGATGCAAAAATAAACTTTGTTCAAATTTTCAAAAGCATTGTAAAAAATAAAATTAATGAATATATTTTGCTGATCTGTGTCTTATCCATGGTGCTGAGTTTCAACTTTTCTTAGTTATAATTAATTATTTACTAATGAGTACTTACTTCTTGCTTGGTAACTTATTTACTTAGTAATTAGTAGGGTAAGTTATACTAATATGGAATAAGTTTGTAATATGAAATATCATTGTATTTATATAGTTAGAAACTGCACTTTATTTACTACCAACGAAGCTTGTTTGTCTTTAGGGAGAGCAGAAATATACAACGTCAATTATATGTGTGTGTGTATAATTATCGTTTATAAATAATAACAAGAAGAATGACAGTAATTTTTAGAATAATTCATATCAAAAGTGTAAAAATAAATACATTTATGCTTGGTAATTTGATAAATTAAATGGGTAATTTTTAAACCGAGACTAGATAGAATTATTTAAAAAGTTAAATAAATTCAAAAATTCTAGTTTGCAATTTTTTAGTTTTGTCGAGATCCACTTGGTAATAATTACACAGTGACTGCAAATGACATTTGTAAGCTTCGGTAATTTCCATATTCAAAAATTTTTCGTTGCATATTTATTAAAATATTTTTCATGAATTACTTTTGTGATTGATTGATGACTATTCCATTTTTAATATTTTATTTTTTTTTTATATTTACTTATGTAATATAAATTCATGAATATTCATCGTCAAAGCCATAATTTTATTGACGGTCTTCTTCTCTCACAATAATTCGTAATATTTTAGTCTTTTACAGTGAATAATCTTCAATAAAGTACCAAGTTTGTTGCAAAGAATCGATTTTTCAATTTTTCTTTCTCTACTCCTGAGTCTTTAACGGCCGAAATTTAGGACTACCTCAGGCATATCTCTTAGAACAGAGTTCGAATAACTGTTCGAGCGTCGCATTTGCTCCTATAGACATTGGAAACTTTTCACTGCAAATAATAGGTAGTTATCATGATAAGAGTGAGAATGGGTAAAGAGAGGAAATAAGAAAAAGAGTCAGAACACAGAGGTAAAAGCATATCAACTTAAAAGCAGTCGTAAAGCTCATAATTTGCTCAAAAGTTACACACGTTTGTATAATAAATATCTATCTATTTATTTATTTATTTATTTATATTTAACCTTTCTTAGAGCAACTTTGTTCTTATTTTCACTTATTCTTTGTTATTTCTAAAAAAAAAATAAAACATTTAAAAGATAAAACTTTTCTTAGAAGCAAGAAATAAATAAAATAGTAACAATGATTAAAAAGATAGTAAAATTTTAAATACATTAAAAACAAAAAGAGTTAAAAAGATATTTATGTTAAAAATACTTTCCTATTGACTATCTACTTGGGTCTGTAGATGATGTGCCTTCTTCTTCCTGCCTCTTCAATTCTTCCCTTTTTCACGCTCCACTTCGCTCTTCTGCTTCTACAGTTTCGCTCTTTTGACCGAGAGGCAACATGTGCACCCAATTGCTTCAATCGCAAATAAACTTTCCTGGCGGCAGCCACCGACATTACAGGAAGCCACAAAAGCGTCGTGGATACGGGCAAAGTTGTGCAGCTTTATCCACATTCTCTTTAATAGATATACTAGGAAACAGGTAAAGCACTAGGAGCCAAGCTGTTCGCGATTATGTGCAAGCACCGTATAAGTGAATATATTTCTTTTTAGTTGTATCTTGCGACAAAGTTTTGACGTCTTCATACTCTTCATTTATCCTTTTTCTATCTCTCAACTTTCGTAGAAACATTTATTCAACGTCGAAAAAAAAAAATGGTTGAGAATTATTTTCTTTCAATTTTTTTCTCGACTATTCTCTTTGTAAATTTGTCGGTAATGGCGTCATTAAAATAAAAGCTTATTTCACCGAGGACGGAAAATTTTACATTATGGTTTATTAATGATAAGTATATGATAACATCAATGTCGGAATAATAATGAGAATTACTTTGACAAATAGTTATAGAGTAAAGTTTGCCTTTTCCAAATGTGTTCTGATAACCCGAAAGGCTCTTCGGTTAGACAAAGTTCTCGCTCCATTATCCGATAACAATCTGATCGAATTGCCTGCTTCGAATGTTACATCTTGCCAAGTCGTTTTTGGCATATACTTCTCCTTGCATTATCATAATCTACAACTTGTACGCATGTATAGGAATTTTATTCCAACTTGTTTTCTTTTACTATACTTTATCGCAAAAGTCCTTCAAACAACAAATGTTTGTTTCCTCTTCGTGCTATTTTTTTTTTTCTTTTTTTTCCAAGATATTCTTTTCTAGTTTTTCTATTCTTGTCTTTTCGCTTCTAAAAGTCTGCGTGTGAATATCATTGTATCCATTATGTCGTTTTTCCAATGTTGAGAAAATTTGAATAGACGACGGGAAAATCATGCAAAAAATTCACATTCGCTGAGTCTTTAGGGATATACATTCACTGTTTTTCTTATTTTATTATTCCCCGAGTTTTTTTCTGCTTCAACCAACGTATTTTTCACTCGTCATATTGACAGATTCTATTCCCAGAAAGAACGATTACAATATCATTGTTTAAAATAAATATAGCTAGGAGAAGTTGGTGCGAGGAACACATTAATTTTTATTATATTTTTCGAAAATTTAAAATAAACATTGATGAAAGTATTAGTAAAAATTTTTTTACAAATCTCTAGAAAAGTATTTTAATATCGGCAGTATTTTTTTTTTAATTTTAATTTTATTAGAATAGAATGCATGCATTAAAAAATTAAATGTACATTAAAAATATTTTAGCTAAAAAAATGTAAATGTCCTGAGGCATAAACGTGCTTGACTATTTTAATTATTTTTTAATTTAAATTTTCAATCAATATACAATCTAGTTAAAACTTAATTAATTATTTTCAACGTATAATTGTGCATGTACTAACAGTTTCCACTACATTGCCCTAGAAAAAAAATTATTAATAATAAGAATAAAAAATAGATAAAAATTGATGGAAAATTTCTCTTTCAGATCTGAGTGAATACGTTTAAAAACTGACAGGCAAGATTAATTTGTCAAGAAGCAAAAAGGCTTGTCGAGCCAAGACAAGGAAACGTAATCGAACCAAAAAATTGGTGAATCAAGGTGAAGAAGAGGAAGGGAAGACAATGCAGATGACACAAACGCTTCTTCAGGAACCGGGTTGGAAGTTGGAGAGAAAGGGGTCGTCGCTTTTTTTACGACGTGACAGCTCACACTCAAAAGCATCACGTGTTTGCTTTAGATGTGACGTCGAAGTACGGGAATATGAAAGAGATGAGGACTATGGGATAGACATGGAACAGCCGGAAGTGAGTGCTAGTCCACTGGCCATGTGTGCAAGCTGTCTAGCTGCTCTCTGTGTCACTGTCATTTTACCTTGGCTTCTCATCGGTGGCTAATCTCCATGTCTCTTGGGAGATCGTTAATTGCGTGAAAACATTTGGGAGTAATAATCGATCAATCATTCGTGCTTGATATGAAAGACAACGCATTTATAATAGAATGAAAGATATTGAAAAATATGAATGCATGTGGACTTTTTTTTTATTGCTTACTTTAAGAGAAATTACAATAAAGATATTTATAGGAAAGAATAAAATGAACTTAGAGAATACAATAATGTGGAAACAATTAAATAATAAATTGTAAAATGATACTTGGCTTTAGAAATCTCTAGTTGATGAAGCTCAGTGAGTGTATTTGTGTTTATATATGAGTTTGCGGTCCTGCGTTACGAACCGCGAAATAAAGCGAGAGAAGGTATTTTTGCGAGATGAAATAAATGAAACTTCAAAGATGAACTAGAGTATAAAAGTGGTAGTGAGGAAAGGTACTCAAGCGTGTAGATAAGATCCTACCTATACCATCTCTCGTGCTTAAGGAAATTGACAAGTCCTGTTTGAGAAAAAGTCCTTTTAAATCATTTTCTTTTTTGTTTAAATTTCATTCTTTGTTTATCACAATTTTTTAATATTCTTTAACCATTTTTGTAAAAGAATAAAAATTTATCAATTTGGCATTTTGATATTTTTATAGCTCACAATGGTCATCTAGAATTAATAATAGTTGAAGAGTAAAGTATTGAATATTAGCGAATTATAATGAATGTAATAGTAGCTGTCATAGTATTTAAAATTCCAAAAATCCATGTTGACAAAAATTTAATAAAATAATCATTTTTTTACATTTTTAGTAAGACTTTTTATATTATAAAACCATTTTTGTACTGTTGAAAAATATATTATAACGATAAAAATAACTATTCTTTCCAATACTGATAAAATAAAGAGTTAAAATCAATTTCACATTTCTGTATCCATTGTTTCAAAGTTTTGTGATCAATGATGAATTATAGAGTAAATTTTATTCAACTATTCTAGTGCCACCAGTTGGTATCTGAAACGAGATGAAACAGGAAAAATGGAAATACATTGCATTTGTGTTGCTTTTAACGATCTGTTACCTCAGATGATAGTGATATATATATATATTTATATTTTTCTATTAAAAAAAAAAAATTTGCATTCTCATACCAAATCAAAAATATTGATATTTTACAGAGTATTGGATTCACAACTTTATTGGATCACTATGAGTAAATACAATAAATTTTTTCATCTGAAAAAATAAATTTTTCAAATAATTGTAAAAGTATTGATTTTATTTTAAAAAAATGTATTCTAATTTAGTTAGTAAATATTTCGAGAATATACATTGTTTGATTAAATTGATTGTTTTGAAGTATATATATACATATACATAGATGTATGTATACATCGATAATATTACATATTCAAACTTAGTATTGGTATTCGATACACCGTCTTCTACTTATAGTCATCACAAGTTCATCTGAGAGACTTTGTAATTTATATACATTCAATTTTTAGATCAGTTGTAACTCTTTGATTTAAATACGGTGTACTTTTATGTTTGTTTAATTTTATCTTTCAAACGTAAATATTTGAATTAAGGGAAAAGGAAGAGCTAATTAAAATGGAGTTTGAAGATTTTCTTTATAACTACATAAAATGTTTGGTATTATTTCATTAAAACATCATAATGTCTTTAATTAGTAACGAGAAATACAATTATTCTTAAGTATCTTTTATACAATGAAGCGAACAATTGTTTATTTTTAATTTAAAAAATCCATTCTCTCAATATGATACATATATCTATATTTTGTTAAGCTTAGCATTGTGATTTTTACATTAATATTCAAATATGTTTTATGATGTTATCAAATGTGAACTTGATTCACTTTTTGTGATATTACTTTAAAAAATTGTCAGAGATTTTATTGTTACAAGTGTTTTATTTTAAAATTTAATGTATTGTCATTTTGAAAATAATGTTTCAAGTATAGAATTGAGTGCAGAAATTTCGTGCCATTGCAAAGAACGTAATAATAGAGACGAATCGTATCATGGATGTATAATCTATGAAAATATTGGAGGAAAAATTCGAATGTATAATTTAAGAATAATGCTAGATATCCAAATAATAATCATAAAAGACCACATTTGTGATCCATTCTTCGTATAAACGTGTATAATTAATAATGTAAGAAAATTGTTTTTTAAATAAAGCTAATGTACGTAATGGAAATAAAGAAACTATTGATTACACAATCTAACTGTTCTTTATCTTTAACCTTGTCGAAATAATTATTTCTTTTTAAATAGAACGATTATTTATTCATTATAATTGTCGGATTATTGATTGGGTAAGAATATTATTATTATATGAAACAAAATTTGTATCAATTTGATTCATTGAATATAATTGCAACGGAAATTTTTTTTCATTTTTACAACTCGTAAATTAAACTAATAATTCAGAAGTGTCAAGAGAACGAGATTATTCCACTCTGCATGGTAATCAATTTTATTTTTTTTTTCATTAATTAAAATTGTTTTTTTATTAATGTTTTATTCAATTTTCCGAATTTGAATAGTTATTGGGAAAGACAATACCCTAGTTTCTTTGAATAAAATTATTATTTTCAAGTGCTATTTTATCGAAATTGTACCATAGAATCCTGGTAATTAATCTCATACCAGAGAATGGATAAACTTGTCACAAATGGGAAGCTTTTGTTATGATCTCACATTATTGAAATACTCAATATGATTGGTAAAATTTTCTTTGGCATTCTCGACAACATAATTTTCATTATACTATTTATTAGCATGTATTTATCATTGCAATTAAAATATGTAAATAACCAAATATGTACTAAATTGAATGAAAATTTCAAAGAAAAGTTATTTTCCAGGAATATTCTTTGATGATAGAATATAAATATTCAGCTTGATTTTGATTGCTTGTTAATTTTATAAAATTTTTGATTGACGTTCGAAAAAATTTAATAGTAAGAAGCTTAACATTAGTTTTTGATCAAAAAGCTCCATAATAAATTCGTTTCACGTCAAACGGAGTCACGAATTTGCTTGTGTGCATAATGAACTTGACAGTCTACTGATGCTCGTTTGAAATTCAAAAGCAAGGTAGTTTAATTATCTACTTCGTTAGCATCGTTACTACATAGAACTGGTATTTTCTGTTCTTACAGTTGCTACAGTCGATAAGTTTGTGAATGATGTGCATGATGTATCATTTGAGATTTATGTTTGAGGTATATTTATACCAAGAACGGACGTTTATGCTTTAATTATGGCTAACATATATTTTTTTAAATAATTGATTAGGTCTTGATAATTTACTGCATGCTAAAAAATTTATTTTTATAGTAGAAGTTATTTTTTTTTATGTGAAAGCTCTGAAATTTTGGCTTTTATCAGCTGTCGTTATAAAAGGTTGCTTTTTGCATTTAGATTGACATCATAAAAGATACGAAGTTTATATCTTTTGCAGATATATCAATTATTTTTTAACCGGGAAATTTTATTTTTCGTACATTGCTCTGAATTGCGATCTATCCGTGCGCAAATTCTCTAAGCTCATTCTCACGTACGTAGTATTGTTTCGTCGATACAACTAAAAGAAGTTAAATTAAATTTTATAACAATTGTAAAAATTGATCAGAAACTGCTTATCTTTTAACTTTTTCACACTTCTACGTCCTTCTGAAATTTTTTATGATTTTTTATTCAAAAATTTTTGTCGGAACAAAACTTGGTTATACTACTGATATTTTTTTTCTAATAAATAAACAATAAAAAGCTCAAAATGTGTGAATTTTTTTTATTTTATCAAGACTAAACAGTATTTTTTTGTATTTTTCAGCTTCCCAGTTTGAGCAGTCTTGATGAGAAGGTGAGTAAATGATGAAATCTATTTTTTATATAAATGAATTAATGTTAATATTGGAATTTTAAATTCAATTTTATTCATATTTATGAGATGTGAATCACACAAGATATCTAAAAAATAATTGCTAAAATATTCGAGTTATCATTCGTAAGAACATTAAGCTGCAATTATGTATAAATCCTCAGTAAAGCGCATTTACCTTACATGTACGATAAATATAAATACATGAATATTGAACGGATAAAGCTTGTTTATGATAATGTCAACAATCACAAGTTATTTACCGATGTCGATAAAGTTTATTTATGCCTAATTTATGAAGTATAGATTAGATCCGATTATTCTAATAGCATCTTTAATGTTTATTTGGCCTTAAAAAAATATTATCATTGTTTGATTTAAAAAATATTGAGTATATTTTTGGCAAATTAAATGGTAAATTTTATAAGTAATTCCTAATCTCCTTTATTATCTTATGAACTTTATAAAAATGAAGAAGAAATTTTAATACGGTTGGTCGTGCAGTTATCGAGAAATTAATTGTTGAAGAAAAGCTCACAGCATCTGTCTCTGCCAGAAGCAGGTGGTAGAGAAAAGTGCACGATGTGCCACTTAGTTAAACCATAGCCATTTAATTCACATAAAATGATTATTACTAACGTAAATAATGGTTTCCGTTAAAAACCAGTCATATTAATATATATTTCCTTCTCTTTTAAAAAAGAGTACTTTCCTTGAGTTCTAAGGTGTACTATGTTACATTTTTATTTCTTTCCTTCATGAATACTCATTAAAATTTAATTAGTTTCCATCATAGCAACATTAATTCGGAATTTTTGTAGTTGCATAGTGTATACTAATTTTGTTTTGTTGACTTTTTTGCGTCTTTTTGTTAATGAGGATTTGCTATCTCTTCAAAAATACTCTAAATGACATTTTGTTGCTTCCAGAGTGTAAATACTAAATATGAGTATTTAATTCAGATCTTTAAATATGAATGGAATAATGTATAGCTGAGGTAAGGGTTAATGTACCGTTAAATGGTCGATTAAGAATTGGCACTGGTAAATGGTATCCATTCCAAAATTGTCATTTTGAAAAATAGAATCATTTCTTGGAACATTTTTAATTTACTACTTTGTCGTAAATATCATCATTGCTCATGTTGAATATTAGTGTCATAAAATTTAAAATTACAATTTATATATTTATTTACTTGACAAAAACCGAAAATAAAATTATATTCATTTGAATGATTTTTTCTCCTAGCAGTGTAAAAAAAATGGTTGTTGACTCCATGCTTCAGAGACATGAAAATTTTTTTTATTCCAAGTCTTTTGAAGTTGTAAAAATTTTTTTTATTTGAAAGAAACCTGTCAAAAATACACTGAATACAAACTGTGAGCATAGGGTTCCCTTGTGTGTAACAAAATATACTTCTGTGAACTGATAGTAGAATCATAAACAAGTACGTTACACAAATCCCCTGTGAGAACGTTGCAACAAATGATACTTGAAATGAAATATGCACAGTTAGAAAATGTATAATAAATATCCAATTTGATATTTTCCAATATTTATACATCAAACATTACAAAAATATCCTGAATACATACAAAGTATCCTCTTTTTCCCATATATTAAATAAAATTGCTTCCTAGATAATTTTTATTCAACATCCAACTTATTCAACATATTATGTATGAGAAAAATTTTATATTGAATTATTGATTCATTAAATAGGTTGAAAATGTATTTTTGATAAGATTAAATTAACATCATTTAAATTAGGTTAATTGCTTTATAATATTCAAAACAATTTATTTATTCATTTGAAAAATAAAACAGATGATTAAATTTAAATAAAATTATTCAATTAATTTTAATAAATTTTTTTCATGTATAATTATTGTTATTCCTAAGACACAGAAAAATTTGTTTTCACCATCTGATTCTGAATTGATACATGTCAAGAATATTGAATTAGACTTCAAAAACAGACATATAGATGTTTGTACAGATGTAAAATTGTCAAAGTCATCGCTACAGAATTTCAAAAGCTTCAATATTTTTTTCTGAATTTTTTTTTCTCTTAACAAACACTGACGAGTTACTGTGATTTAAAAAAATCTACACTCTGAAAAATCAGATAATGGGTAATACTGCTCGTACGTTTTATGTTCAACCGAGAGATTTGGGTTAATAATTTTTGGCATCACCGAGTAGTTACTGACAATAAATTCTAGAATAATCGAAATCAGCTTTTTGTATCACTGCCAATTACTACAGTGATTCTCGGTTTTATGATTATTTTATATCTTCGCATTCAGAGAATATTTATCAATGATTCTTTTTTAAGAATCGTTCAGATATATTTTATTTTTCATTTGAATCGTCCTCATATTTTTTTAATTGATAGCAGTCAGTTGATTGATTTTAAATATTCACGATAATTCTTTCAAAATAATTGGAACACTGGTAGTTAACCCTGCGTGTTCATTTACGTTTGATGCAAATAATTAAACTTGTATTCGTATGTGGTTAGGATGCTCGTTCATGTAAACAGGACAGAATTTTTATACATTATTCAAGAGGAAGTGTTGGAGGCTGATGTTAAATGACGAATAGGGGAAGAAGAGAGTCGACGATAATACCTTTTGATAAAAATATTTAAGATAATTTACAACTAAGGTTAATTTGTTAAGTACTCTGCATATACATTTCGAAAAAGAGAGAAGACTAATGAATTCAGTCTACTGTTTCCTTCATTTAAATAAGAAACATGTAAACGATTTATAAACAACTCCAACTCTAATAAACACGACGCATTTCTTTAGTTTTCTTTTTTTAATTTTTATTACCAAAGAATATTTGAAAAAAAAATTGAATGAATGATTCTAAAAGCAACAGTGATGAGCTTTTGGCTCGTTAAACTCTAAATATTTGTGGCAAAAACGACTGTTTAAAGATCTCTAAAGTTTTTTGAAATATTGAATAATCTCTTAATTATGTTGCTCTAAGTTGTTTGGAGTTTTTTTTACGATGTTATTATAATCGATAAATGCAAATATATTTGTTTGAGTCCCCTTAATTGAATGGAGTTTCTTCATCAAGGTAATAAAGCAAAAAACATAAAAACAAAATAAAATGGAAAAGAGCAAATACTACCACATATAATATAAATGCGATATCGAGTTGACTTCGAAGGTCCACTTGGAATTCTTGGGTTGGTTGGCGTTGTATTATGTGCAAATTCGCATGCGCAATGATTCCGTAGATATGTATATGTCAAATATGTGTGCATATTTACATTGAGATAGAGATGGAAATGGTGTGCATGTATATAATGTTTTGTGACAAGACGTGATGTTGGAAAATGTATAAATGTGCATGAGTGTATATGTTTGATGGATACGTTAAGAATCGTATGGCATCACCACATATACATTCACACGCCGTATATGGTTGCTCTTGGTAAACAACAGTGGTTGCCAAATAGTGGAATCTATTTATAAGATGAAAATTATTTGCGTAATGAAGTATGGGTACTTTTCAAGCTCATAAAGGGGTCATATCCAAACATGATGGAAACAGTGATACATTAGGAATTTTCTTTCACCTTTTTCCTAACTCTAAATTTAAGCTGATAGTTTATAACTAATTGAATTGAATTCTTTCATAAAAATTAAGTCTTTAAGAAGCGATAATTTTAATTGATTTTAGAAATATCTAGTAAGTTTTGAATTATAGAGTAGGTGTTCGATATTGAAGTCTAGGAGATAGTTGACTGTCTAAGATTGATAGCATAATGGAGGTGAGCAACCATGAAGTAGAATAGATATGCTTAAAAAACTACAAGCAGGAAGGATAGAGCATATATGGGATATATGCTTATAAGGTTTTATCGAAAAGAACTGGATTTCAGAATTTTCTTTGATATATATTTTAAAAAAAATTTCCATCTTGGATTTATTATTGATCAAGTCACCTTTCTAGCAAAAGAACCAAGTCAAATGCGTACTTCAAAACATTTCATGGTGTTATTCAAGGTGAAATAAAAAACAATTCTAATATAAATGTCTTTCTTATGCTCCGATTGCGTAGGTGCTCCAAAAAATTTTTATTATTTGATTCTGATATGAGTTTTCAATGCTCTTTTATTTCCTGCTTTAGAAATACTTTTCTAAAATTTACTATTCATATTCGAAGGTCATAAAGTAGTATATTTAGTTCAACTTCAGGCTGCTTCGATAGTTTGAATATTCTGCTGTGATGATAAATAGACAAACGGACAATAAAAAACGAGATTGAGGCATCTCATCGTGGATCTATAGGACTCTAAAAATAATATGAGTTCACTATATAGTGTTTGTATGAAAACAAAAATGAGGGGAAATATATAAAATAGACATTGATATTTGTTTATATTGAAATTTGATAAATTTTAGTTTACATTATTTAGAAAAATATTTTTTTCTTTTATTTTCGAATTTTATTTAGGGAAACACAATGTATTTCATCTGTCGAACAGATGAAAAAAATCTCAATTACTTGTTCGTGCGTCAGATATATTTTTTTTAACTGTCTAAATTATTTGTCTTTCTGTATGTTATTTTATTTTAAGAAATAAGAAGTGGCGCTTAAATGCTTCTTTCATTTCTATCAGCCAAATGTATTAAGTCCGATTGAGTGAAATAAACCAGTGCTTAAGATGTCAGTGCGTAGGCGCACCTTCTATTTCATAAATTTCCTTAGATAAAAAAATCTATTATAAATTCAAGGATAAAATTTTTGCACTCGCAAGTCAAGTTCTTTAATAAATCATTCATTAAAAAAATACGTTTCACTCCAATTTAGAATTTAAAGAATACAAATAAAATATTTAAAATAATTTCTATCATTTATAAAATTTCATTTTTTTAAAATAATAGTTATTGTGTCAAGTTACATTTTATTAACTCAATTTCACGCAATTATATACTACGTTGTAACATCGTGAAACT